AAACCCTCAACCAAAACCCTAAACCCATTGGTTCACCTCCTGAGTTGAATGTTCAAGAGCTGTCCACCGTCTCAGGACCTGGTCCAAGGCGCAGCTGTTTGACGGAGCTTTCTTGCATTGAATCTTTGACTTGCTTGATCTTGCAGAAGCTTGCTCGACCCGTATGAACAACTGCTCGGACAGAATCGAAGCCGATTTGACAAGTCTACGTTTCGTGCAGAGCAGCAGGCTGCTTGCTGACTGCAGAGAACTTGCTGAACCTGGGCCGGGTCGAGAAGAGGACGCTCTTCCAGGCCTCTGAACCGATGGTGACATTAATAGAGAGAACGATTATATAGTATTGTGGGTGTTGTTGTTGTTGTCGTCATTCGTTGTTGTTTTGTATAGTAGTCATGTTTTGGATTTAGTAGTATCAACATCTGTACTACTTGTACCAGGCATTATTATGGTCAACTATTGTCATGTTCATTTTGTATTAGTTTCACAAGTTATAGCAATTCTATGAAGCAAACGATATGCTCGGATTGCGTTTAGTTTGGCGTGATGATGATGTGTTTTTCCTACTCATTGTCGAAGCTGGTAAGAGTTGCTATTATTGGTAGCAGTCGTCCTCGTAGTCGTAGATGTGGTAGCAGTAGTAGTAGTAGTAGTAGTAGTAGTCGTCGTCGTCGTCGTCGTAGTCGTAGTCGTAGTCGTAGTCGTAGTCGTAGTCGTAGTCGTAGTCGTAGTAGTCGTAGTGGTAGTAGTAGTAGTAGTGGTAGTAGTAGTGGCAGCAGCAGCAGCGGCAGTAGTAGCAGCAGTTGTTGTTGTTTTTTTGTTGGCAGCTCCTCCGGGGCTCTCCAGACGCCCTAAACCCTTCGACTGCGCCTGAGACCGCCCCTGGATAGTGTAAGCCCTGAACCCTCAACCAAGCCAGGTGTCAGCCAGCAAGCTTCTGAACCGGAATGAGCATTTGGTCTCTGTCTTGAAAGATGCTGCAAAGCGCTGCCACGAGCAGAGCAGTTTGGCCGCAACTATTCCGGGTTTAGGGGTTAGGGCGCGCTCTTGCCTTGAGACGGAGTGAGGGTTGCATGGGCGCTGGCCGGCACCTCAGTCCGTGCTGAAAAAGGGGTTAGGGTTTAGGGTTTCAAGGTGTAGGGTTTAGGGTGGCGTATGTTCGATCCTTTAGTAGCCACGAGTGCTGCTGGAGGGTTTACGCGCTGTCTTGTGGAGTTTCCCGGCTGCTTGCAAGAGTCCTGGATGCAAAAGGGTTTAGGGTGGTTCCTCGCTTCAGCTGCAGTAAGACCGGCACTTCTCTCAGTTTTGATCGCCGTCGTTGGCAGGCAGCATCCGTTCGTGCACACTGTACATGAATTGAGGTCACAATTGCCTGGTGGCAAGGTGGTTACCGCCAGATGAACGCTATCACATCCTTCAAGCCTCCATTAACGCCATGAGCCGCCAGACGTCAAGACACGGATTTGTTTTCGAACCCTAGCCAGTGTCAATTAGGACAGTTTGACAGTGCCGGCAGCATTGCACACCCCGCCAAGGCTCCTTGCTCGGCCCCAACTACGTGCACCAGAACGCCTTAGGCGACACGGACCTTTTCAAATCAACCTGGCTCCCTGGATGCACTCAGAAAAGATACTTGCTGCCTTGACTGAGCCCTTCTCTGCCAGGTATTGTGTGACAATCATGACACCAACCCGAGCTGAGAACCATCTGCCAGATGAGCAAAAGGTGGCCTGGACACACATTGAGGGCGAGAGCAGCAAAAGAAGTGGCACGAAGAGGAGTCGCAGTGGCAAGGCCAACATCGGCCCTTCGTAGAAAGAGAGGACTCGACGTGTCACGAAAGACATGAGCTCGACAAGGGACAAGATCTTTTGGATGGGGTTTTACCAGCTGTGCCGAAGTAAGAATAAGGCCCTTCTGTCCTGTCCGGCAACAGCCAACATGGCCCCAGGAAGAACAAGAGGAGAGGCCTCCAGAAAGAGGTTGAGAGCTTTCGCAGACATACCGGCACTCCACTTCCGATAAATCGCGAGGTGTCGGCAACCACGCAAAGCCTTGAGACGTGCACCTTCACGGACATGACACGCACGCCACGACCGACTCTCAGCGCCTTGGCCAAGCTGAAGTTGTTTCGTTTAGAGGGCAACGACAGCCGCCAGAAAAACATGTTCCGACATGGGTTTCTCTTCGGCGTGACAGGCTGCTTGACCAGCTGACTTATGAGGAATCTGCCTCGTGCACGAGTCGGAGCTGAGAGGGATATCAGATGGCTCTGGACTCAGAGTATATCCGAACAGGTCCGTCTGCTTGTCCGTCGGTTGTCTGAATGTCTGTATCCATGCACGTATGTATGTCTATATGCGTGCGCGCGTGTGTGTGTGTGGCGTATAGAATTATGTATGCATGTATGTGCATGCGTGTGTGTGTGTGTGTGTGTGTGTGTGTGCGTGTGTGGATGTGCTTGTTTGTATGCATGTGTATCGCTGCATGTAACCGTATGCATTTATCGCACCTAAGTAAGTATAAGCATGCCGGCATGCGTGCATCCGTTCATACATAGACATGTCTATTTACCGTTATATTATCATATATATATATATATACACACACACTCATTGGTTTTTATCTGTGTGTTTGTTTTTTAGTTGGTGTTGTTTAATGTGGTCTTCCTTAGGTTAGTTTGTTTATTCTGATCTGATCTGTTTATGTACTTGGTTGTCTGCCAGTTCGCACGTGCATATGACCCAAGTCGAAGCCACACCAAGGAAAGCTCCAGCCGCCATCTTGGGGCTTCTTCAACAGCCGTCACGCCGAGACTCGGCTTCTGATTGATGGCTCTGGGGGCGGCTGTGGCTAGGGGTTATTCAGTAATACTACCCGCCTACATACAAAAACAGTCTAAGATGTCGAATTGTCAAGGTCCCGGTATTAGGTTGTTTTTTTGGTCACTCGCAACTTAGCAAGATCAAGCGAGGAGGTTCGGTCGCCCAGTTGACACGCAGGGACTGCGATTCCAGTACCCCGGTGTTCCAAGTTTGGGTGGCCCTTTGAACACGGAGGAATACACTAAATGCGGCATGACAAGCATACGCAAACGTGCTGCACCCATGCCCTTGAATGCGGCTTTCCTTGCCTTTCCATATGTTGGGACGAGCAAGAAAGTGGGTCGCTCTCAGGAAAGGTATCGGATGCTTTGCGACTTCAGCAGAAACTTCCAGCAACAGCTCCTTGGCGTTTTGGCCCGTAAGATGTCGCATCCTTACTGTGCCCTCTGTGGCCACTGCGAAAGACGAACGGAGTTTCTGAAAGGAAGCATGAGAGCCATGCGAGAGCTTTTCCCTTTGATCGATCCGTTTGGAGGTCACGGATTGTTGCATGCTACTTGAGGTAGGCCCTAAACTCCTAAACCCTTGAGACTTACAAGCTTTCACGTACTGTCGTGGCTTCGTTTGTGTTGAAACTTGGTCAAAAGGAGCAGCGGTGGCACGCAACGACTCTACTCTGTGTTGTGCCGAGATGGTTCGAGAGAAGTTTGAGTGCGCAAGAGCGCCTATTCGTGTTTGTGCAGGGCTGGAAGTCTTTGGATGTCAATGTACTGATAAAAGATGATGAAAGGCTTAAGGCCTTTATTCCGAAACAGATGAACGTTGCAGTTCTCGCAGACTTGCCAACCCTGCCATGCGGGCTCGTCTTTGCGAAGTAGGCAGGAAATCCCCTGCCCCAGTAGACTCAGCAGACATGCCTGGTCAGCTCGCAGGTTAGTTCGCACACCAGCGGACTCCAAGAGCCTCAACTCACGAAGCCCTTTCACCAGCGAGAGAGCTCACAAGGCCGGGTGGGGGTCGGGGGCCAAGAGTGGGCAAAGGGCCTTCCGATGCAAGTCGGAGCCAAAAACCCGACGAGACCCCAAGAGCCGCTATAATCCCTTGGCCCATCCAGCCGAGGGGCGTGTACTGCGCGAGTTGTGAGCGCCAAAACACCCTCCGAAGGCGGCGACCCCGGCCTTCAAGCCGGACGGAGGGATGATGAAGCGCCTCGTGGCCGCAGACCGTAGACTCTTTGGGTACCTTTGTTGGTGCTGTAGTCGGCTCCCAGGAATCGTCTCCCAACCGAACTTGCAACTACTTCAGAAGGGCGTGCCGCAGATGTCCATCGGAATGGGGCGAGCCTGGCCTGCACAAGGCTTGGGGGCGCGGGTGCGGTTGGTTCTAGATGGGGTTCTCACAGAGGGGCGTGCAGACACGGTCACCGAGCTTCCAGCTGCTCCAGTGGAGTCTAGCCGAGGAATCGGCCGCGACGGCAGCTTGGCATCTTCCGTTGTCATTGACATTACCTGGAGTGTGAGGGTTTTTGCGCACTCGCGCTAGAGCTAAGGTGGAGAGGCTGAGCATGTAAAAGTTGCGGCTGCCACGGCGGATGAGGCCGACCCGAGCATGCAGCCCATTTAATCGCCTTTGCTGAAGCTCGCATGCAGATGCATGCTTGAACAGGCACACAAACAGAGAGTGTTTTGCTGTGGGAATAGTTAGCTCGTTTCGTGTATGCATTGCCTACCCTCGGGCTTCAATCATGCAGTCAGGCAGATCGAAGCAAGGGCGCCTGTGACGACAATTGTGCCTGGGTTAAAGCGGTTTCCGAGTTTGGCTGGCTGAAGAAGCTCCAACTTTTGCCAGACAGAACAGCTCTGCGGGCGCACACGCAGTTGCAAAGTCAGTAAGGTCATTTGTTGCAGGAGCTGAGTCGTGGCAGTCGTGCATGGTTAGTATGATTAGAGAAGGCTAGGGGCCTGTTGCCCAAGGTTTCTTGAGACTCCATGTGCGCGTGGCTCAGTGCCGTCCTGCGGAGGTGATGGGAGGGGAGCTGAGGTGGGCAGTGTCAGAAGCTTGCAGTCGCAGACATCACGTGTGGCCTCGTCGCAGTCGCTGACTGTGACCACGGCTTCTATCCAAGGCCGCACTATGTCGGGCCGACGTCCGGTTTTCACAAGCCCGTCATCCACCACACAGGCACCTGCACAGTCAAAACTGCGTTATGCACAGATCACCCTCAAGGCACTCCAAGACTGTAGGAATATTAGGAATCTCTGGGCGGTTCCACCGCCATGCCGCCGCAGGCGACAATGGAAGCCAGAACAAGTTCAGCATGAACCTGGCAGATGGCAGCTCGGGAGGCTCCCGTAGCCAGGTAGGTATCCGAAGACCATGTATAGTAGTATAGTAATTAACTCCCAGTAGGCCTTTGAAAGCCTGCAGCTGTACTAAGCAGCGCAATCTGCAGGAAGAGAGGTTGCAACGAACCTCACGTGTTTTTGCATTCTTCGATTCTTGCAGCTTGTAGCTGTCACTTGCAAAGCTTCGAGTGTGAGAGCCTAGACTCGATCTGGGGTACTTGCAGAAGCCCCCCCTAAACCCTAAACCCTAAACCCAAACTCCCGCAAGAAGCCCCATCTTTGCTCAGGTCCGCCTCTGTCACCTGGGTCGCGGAACGGAAGCCCTTGGGCCTCCAGGGCGCAGCTCATCCCTCCTTAACCTCGGCTTCACACGCCACAGCCATGACCGCTTTCGAAGGGACTTCCCTGTTTGCCAGCCATAACTGGCCATAACGACGTATGGTACATCATGACATGATACATTCGTAGAGGTAAGAATGCCTGATCATATTGATTTGTAGAATGTTTTGCACCAGTACATAGCACATGATATGCAATGCTAAACTTGCAGGCAACAGCTACAAAACTGTTTCGACCCCTGCGGGGAGGCGATGCATTTTGGGGGGGGGGGATTCTTGAAGTGAGATGTGGCCCAAGTATTATAAATCCTATTCAGGAAGTTGAAGGGCAAATCCAGTGAGGCCCCTAAGCAAAAAATAAGTTATAAGGACTCTGCATCCTCACCTTTTCTTTCTGAAACTCCCCTGTGCGGCTTCGTGCTTGCTCAGGCTGTACATCCAAACTGTTTAAGTCAGAGGTCGCCTTACAGTGGCACCATAGAGGCGGTCAGCTGTGCAACCGCTGTGTAGTCAAAAAGTCGCCCGCGAGAAATTTCGCCCCACATCAGAGTGCTGAAAGCTGATGAAAACTCATGGGACTGTCCGACGGCCCAGAGAAGCGTCATAGAGCATGGCTGCCCCGGTCCAGGCGAAGAGCTTCGCCAAGAGCTTCAGCAGGCTTGCAGGGCGATACAAACTGAACAACCAGCGCAGGACGTGGGAACCATGGCAACCTTGGGCTCATATATACACATGAATACCAGTAGACGTATACAAATGCATGTATACATACACATACTCAACTCATGCCAGCCCGCCCGCCCACCCAAACATACATACATAATCATGCAAAAAGGCATCCGTGCATGCATACATCTGATATATTCCTTTTGCACGAAAGGTGTTTGCAAACCCACCCAAATTCCCTGCCCGATAAGTAAACCTCAAACCGGATTCTGGACTTGCTGTTTTCTAGAGTAGAAGTCCTGATTTATCAGGGCTACAACGTGGAAATGTGTTGAAAAACCGTGTGCATGCAAGGGCGCAGCGCAAGGCGATTTTCGAGCTGCAACCATAATAAATAGCAACGCCCCATATGATTGAATAAATATATACATATAGGTAGATAGATAGATAGATAGATAGATAGATAGATATACAGATATACACACATATACATACGCACGGGGTAGCCGTGGAGAGGTGACAAGATGAGCTGATCAGCCTTTGGTCTCTCCAGGCTTCTGCGACCGCCCGGCATGCAGAGGGTGAGGCGCAACGTTGGCGACGGGCCCGCCGGGCGGGCATCCCCAGAAAACGGCCAGCAAGCTCTCTCAAGGGTTCCTTTCTTTCTGGATTTCATCAGCATGTTCGGGGCTCAGGGATAGTAAGGGGCAGACATCCAAAAAGATCCTACATTCAAATTGCATCGCAGTTTTTTCTAAGCTCGCATGACCCGATTGCCAAGGATCTCCTGCGCGGCAAGGCCGATCCGACGGTCGACGAGCCCTTGCAACAGCTGAAGGCACTTGGGGCTTATAGGGTCTGGAATGTCAGGCCACACCACCTATCCGAGCAAAGAGGTGACAAGATCATTATTGATGTAACATCCTCGTGCATCTCCTAACCCCTGAAGCCTGAGCACACTTCCAGGCCGTATTGGAGCGGAAGCGCACGGAAGTGGGCTTGATCAGGCTTCGGGCGGTCAGCGCGGACCAATGGTATAGCACTGAGCCGCAGTTTGCGTCTGCAGAGATAGCCAAAGAATGAAGCTCAGCACATGTGCAAGTTGGTATTGCAAAGGCCGGGCATGAATCTTTCAAAAACCAAGAGCCAAACCTCAACATATGAAGCCTCAATAGTTCAACACCCAGGCCCGGGGCTCTTTGCAAGCTCAAGCGGCTCCTCGGCCCTTTCCTTGACGAGAGCCTGCTGCGGGACACTGCGACCTGCTTAGTGCGAACGAAGGGTTTAAGAGACTCACGAGGCTCCATGTACCTGAGTTCGCGACTTGTGCTCAGTTGACAGCCAGCCCGGATCCGAATACGCAGGATGTCCTGCTCCGGTGGTTTCACATCGCACTCTGGGACTCCTGGAGGCGCAGCTCAACATCCAAAGTGTTTGCAAGTGCTTGGCCGAGCCCCTGTGGGGTTCCTAAACATACGTCTGGCTTTTTCTGGCAGCCGCGTGTAGCCGTCGGTGGAAGATGGCCAGGCGCGCGCCTCCCGATGGCGTCGGGCAGGAGGCAGGCGCATGTGCCAGGAAGCTCTTCTTCCCGCAGCATACAGCACTGGCGTAAAGATTTAAAGGATGGAAACAGCAAGCATACATGTAGTTCTATGTGTGTATATATATATATATGTGTGTGTGTGTGTGTGTGCGTTAATCACTGTTAATCTTCACTGTCACAAGTTCGTCAGCCTGAAGATGGGGAGCCCTCACCTTGAGGCAGACACTCTCGACGAGGAAAGTGCCTCTACGCCCCTTGCGAAGATAGAGCCTGCTACCCAGACCTTGGTGCTCTTCCGGATGGGTTCCACACAGCAGAAAACAAGAAAGTTGCTGAGCCCATGACCGGATGCTTTACTTCCTGGAGCGACGCACCATGACATGTTGCAAGTAAGGGTCGTGCCTCAAGCTCTCCTTGCCGGCCAGGCCGGCTGTTGCAAGCTGATGCGGGCTGCAGCTCCTCCATGCAAGCACAGAGTGCCCCGACCCTTGCAGGAGGCACTGAATGGAACTCGCGTGACATTGGTCGCAGCGGTGGACTCCCAGGTTTGGAGGACTGGCGAAGCTTTTTGACGGATTAAGTGCTGATCACTGGTCCTAGGATGGTGCGTTCCTTCCTGCCACCGTTGCAGGACGGAGGGCGGGCTTGTGAGCCACGGGAAGTCTGTCTGGCCTGCCTCGAGCCACTTCACCTTCGAGGCAGGCTCGGGCTCCATCTCCAGTCCGGACTGGTAGGTATGGGGGTTTCCGAAAATAGGGGACCCGAATATAGCACCCTATATAGTAGGATCCTTACTATAAGGACCCCAAAATAAGGTACCCCCTATTTTCGGAAACCCCCGTATACCGTGTGTGATCACATCGGGGCGCTGGGACGCAAGTCAGGTCTTCTCCTGGAAGTCGGCTCTTGAAGTCCAGGTGTTGGCCTCCAGTCAGGGACTGACTCTGGTTGCTGTGATACAATAGGGGCTTAAATAACTCAAATAACTACCAATACTATGTTGGGGGCTCCTTATTATAATTGCCTTGGGTGTTCTGAGTTCCGTCGCGAAGCGCTACACCCAAGGCCCCGCGGCCTCATCGCCATCAGAGGTGGGCAGCAGCCGACTCGAGGTTCTCGCCCTGATCCCCAACCGCTGGCACCGCTTGAAGGCAGGAAGCCTGCAGAACCCCCTCGAGCCTTAGGGTGATTTCTGCCAGCATGCCCAAACTGGTCCGAGCCAGTCGAAGTGGTCGCATTTCGTCGTATCTTCTGCTTGGACTCCTCGACCTGTTTGTGTTTTCGGTCTGGAGCTGGGCCGGGCTATGAGCAACAGCTTTGTTCAGGAGACGCTTTGGGGAGGCACGTCGCGTCCGCAGTCAGGGGCTCAGGCCGACCTGTGTCATATACCCGAAAGTAGTTCCTTTTTGGGGTTCATATTTAGAATCCTTTAAGCTAACCCCAAAAAGGGCCTATGGGTATGCACGATCTACATGTTATAGACATATTCTGTCATATTCTGTCTCTGCGTTCATGTTCACACGGGAGTGTCAGTGTTCCTAAGTGCAAGCGTGGACGTCGCCCTTTGGGCCTGCAGCGCGGATGGCTGGCAAAACGAGCGGTTGCTCTCTAGGCGAAGGTGAGGATCCGTTTGAGGCTGCTGTCTTGTGATATCAAACTCAGATCGCCCATGAAAGCTTCTGCAGCAGCCCGCGCAACCCTGTCAGACCTAGGATCGAAGTCGGCATTTACGTCTCCATCGAGCCACCCTCCAGTCCCGTGGCACATCAAATCGGGCAGATGTGCGGAGTATAGCTAAGTATATATGTCTCTGTATGTATCTATGTATATATATATATATATACATACACATGTGATTATGTATATGTACATGTATGTGCATGTGTATGTGTATGTGCAAACATATGTCTACATATGTATATGCATATGTGATCTTCCATTCTGAGCCTTCGTAGGTCCAAGTTGGCTAGAAAGTTCCTACTCGTGCCGTCAGCTTGGGCGCGAGGACTACGGCATAGCATACACTTCCACTCGCAACTGTGTTGTGCGCACATGGAAGCCTTTGCTCCTTCGCCAACTATACGGTTTCTTTATGGTCTTTGCTGCAATGCAGTTGTCAGCATGCATCTCTGTTGGTTCACGTTGCTGTCACGGATACTTGGCATAGTCAGTCACCTGTTTAAGACCTATTTGCTTGGAGGGTCTGTTTTTGCGATGCGGTCAGTACAGTCCAACCCGAAAGATGTAACACTTGTTAATTTCCCAGCCTCGCTCAGTGGGACGCACGAGTTCGTAACTCGTAACAACAACAAATTTAGCGTCCACATTATGACATTGAGGATGGCAGGTTTTGGGCAGCAGTCAGATGTTTGACATGCGACCATTGATCGCACACGTTATGACTGCCAGGTCAAGCTTTCCTTCTAAATAAGACTTTGCTCTACATGCCTCAGCCCAGCATTAAAAACAGGCCGACTGCCGAAATAGTCATGCTGCAGTTGGCTGACTCGTTACGCCATGATTTGCCCTGCCTTTCCATGATGCGACGCTACACCAAACACAGTGATCCGCATGTAGAAACTGAACTACAGAACGGCAAGGCTGGTATAACATCATGATGACAGTACAGCCAAGAAGAAGAGATGACCCAGGTCGACCAGGAGCGGAACCGCTTGGGGAAGTCCAGGCAAGAGTGGAGACAATGCGTGTGGTTGCTAATCGGGCCTTTGACAGAGGTCTTTGGGCATCGCTTTTGTGACCTAGGGCTGCATGGTTCAAGCCGTTCTCGGTGTTGTAGTCACTTCGATCTACTTCCTGAAAAGCTTATGCTCCTCGCCTCGTCTTCTCATTGTCGGTGTCTCATCCAGTCATGGCGGGAGGATGTTCTAGCAGCAGCATTAGCAGAAGCAGTAGTCGTCTTCGGGGCGGTGGTAGTGACATCGGTAATTAGTAGTACCGGCAGTGGTTGGGTTGGACCCTAACAACAAGAGGTGGTCTGAGTTAGAAGTTAAAATTTGGCCTGCGCAGCTGCACACCTTGATGCTGCAAGCTTTATGCAGGCAGTCGAAGCTGACAGCATGCCGCAGCCGACACAAAGGCCTTCGGAACGTGCTCACCTAGCTGTGGCTTCACTGAGAGCACTTCGCGGCAATTTGATCCAGATGCCACACCTCGTGAGAGTTGAGAGGGTGGCCGTGTGCATGAGTTTCGTTTCAGGGAGCTGCAGAAGATGAAGCTTCAGGACGACTTGACTTGACCTGTTGCTTGTAGCTTACCCTGTCCCTGGTCGCTGTGGGATACTCCCTGGTCGCCAGTCACGGGCTTCAGAAGCGTTGCCTGTCAAGGAGCTCCTCCATGATCCAGAAGAGAGGTCAGCAGAAAAGGAAAGTAAACCACATCGGGATGGCAAAAGCCAGCGAGCACCCTGTTAGCAGTCAGGATTGGTTAGCATGACGGAACAGGTTTGCTATCGTTGACGTTGAGTTAGCATCGTGAGCCTTCGCTGGTTTGTTCGTCCCCTTGACTTGGGGGTTTCCGACAAAAGGGGACCCTAATATAGTACCCTAAATAGTAGGATCCTCATTATAAGGACCCCAAAATAAGGTACCCTAATTTTCTGACATCCCCACCTAGCCCAGTGGCCTATAATAGTATCCAGCCCACTGAGGAGCTACAGCGCGAGGAGCTTGAGCGGCTGCTCCTCAGCTGCAGAAGTGGGTGGTGAGCGCTTCAGTTTAGAGCCCGTTGATTCGTTGATTCGTAGACACGTCACTGAAATCGAAGATCAGGCTGTCCGACGGCGGCCCCCCGACCGAGGAGCAGAGGAAGAAGGTGCCGTGCGATCCCGAAGCCGCCTCAACCCCAAGTGCTGCGAGCTGCCAGCACGCCAGGACCGCATCAGGTCGCTGGAAGCCAAGATTGCAGAGATGCAGGCACGCTGGGCGGCAGTGGAGGAATTCTTGAGGAAGCCGAGTTCTGTTGCTCTAGCTCGTGGGTTCGCGCATGAGACTCACAAGCTGGCTCAACATACAAAGGTATTACCACAAGATCAACAAGCATCAACAACACTATCAAAATACTGTAGCATGCTTCGGGGGAGTTTTGTTCGCATGTCACCACAATTCCTGCATTGCGACATGCCCGAGGCCGAGCTTGAAGCGGAGCGCTCCTCTGACATTTGGCAGATACCGGTCGAGTTGGCCTTTTCAGAACTTTTCAGCTTTGTAGGCCTGGGTAGCAGTATAAAAAGCAGCCCAGAGACAGATAGATCCGCAAAGTGCGGGTGAGAGCTTTTAACGAAGCGCCCACACCTTGTCCTGAGCTAGATGCCGCCAGTTTGCACGTGCAATCCCTCCCAGTAAGTAAGTAAGTAAGTAAGTAAGTAAGTAAGTAAGTAAGTGATGAGGTATTCTAACATAAGACACGGAAAGTATGAGAAAGTAGGGGTGGATAAGTCAAACCTCGCCTGACCTGGCCGAGCGCGAGTGCCAAAGTCAAATGTAAGAAAGTAAGTAATGAGCATGCTGGACATGATTCCCTCTTTGGAGCTTCGGCGTCTCAGGAACGAGCAAAGTCTGATGTGCGGCAGAAGCGCGACCAGCGCCCCAGCTGAAGGTACTTTGGGGCAGATCTACGGGAAGTTAAGGCAGCAGAGCCACATAGCCAGGCCAAGCACTGGGTTTTAGGAGAGTTTCACGCCGATGTCGTCTCAGGAAGCGCCTTGGGCGTCGGCTCCCTGGTGCTTCAAAGAGCGGCTTTTTTGGTGTAATCGTCTGAACTGTGCACAGACCAGAGGTCAAGCCAACCCTAACATGGGGAAGGGCTTAGAGAAGCTCCGGGCAGCTGCCAAGAGGCGGCTCTTTGAGTTAACCTCCGCCTTTTTTGTCACTGACATGCTGCTTCAAGAGGCAATTCTCTGCAGGCTGCAGTCGTCGTAGCTCCTTTGGGTTCAGAGATGTCTTAGACTCGCGATGGGACTGCTTGTCCTCTAGTCGTGGCCTAGCAGCCTAGCATGCCGGGCCACTTGCAGCCAATCCTTGCATGTGCCTTGTTTGCTTTGGCTGAAGCCTCCTACCCTCTGGCACCATTGGCAACTCCGTTGACATGCACGTGTTCGGGTGGTGGAGATGGCCTTGGTTGGAGTTATGTACTCGACAGATGCATGGAAGGCGAAGTGACCTCTTGCTTGGAGTGCTCGGTGTTGTCCAAATGCGCAAGAATCACCAATGTGGCGGGAAACGGCATTCAGTTATTCTATGGGGACTGCCGTACCGCCACTCAAGAATGTGCAGCAGCCGATGCATCGTCAATTGCATTTGCTGTGAGCCTCGCGGTTGACGAGATGGACAACATTTACTTCTCGGATCAGGGAAATAACAGAATCCGAACCTCGGATTGGAGTTTAGAAGCGATGACAGGTTCCCTTTGCGGACAGGGTTGGAAAGGACTTACACAGGAGTTGTATACTCTCGCATGAAGATGCCTACGGGCCTATGTACCGCAGAGTACACAACGACTCTATCTGCTGTAGCAGCATACCTAGAGTCCACAGTCGCGCAGATACACATGCATGAACGTTTCAGTGTGTGGATGCTTTGGAGCACGCATGTTCCTCTGCTCGTCTATGAATTACTTGATGAGGGGCTTGACCTGTTCGTTGGTTCCCGGGTGTCACCGTGCACACTGTCTGTCGGCTCAGGCATGCTTGACAAGAGCCGGAATGCCCTGGTGACGATCGCCGGCACTGGGGAGCTTGGTTTTCAAGGTGATGGAGGTCCGGCACGCTTGGCCCAGTTGAGAAAGCCGGAGGGGTTAGCATTGAAGCCTGGGCTGGACGTCGGGCCCGACAATGTGGGCCGCGAGCTCTACTTTGCTGACTTCGTGAATCAGCGCATCCGAAAGCTGGTCCGCACTACCAACGACTGGGTGATCTACACAGTGGCAGGTAATGGAGGCATGGCTGACGATCCACTTTGTGACAGTGGTTGCCCAGCTTTAGAAACAAGTCTCTGGAACCCCCGCTCCTTGGCCTTCGCATCAAACCAGGATTTGTACTTCGTGGACTCCGGCAGCCGCAAGATTCGCAGGCTAACAACGAGCTTGGGAGATCCGCTCAATAACCCCAATGCCAGCGTCACGACTTTTTTGGGGAATTCTGAGTGGACATCGAGCCATGGAATGTGGGAATCTTTCCGCGGTATTGCCAAAGTGACTTTGCCTGGGCATTTCGTAAGTCGAAATGAGCACCTCCACTTGAGAGCAATGTATGCCATCCTGATCGACAAGCACGATCGCCTTTGGACAATAGACAGTGACAACAACAGAATATTCATGGCTCCACTTGTGAATAGGAGCATCACTCGGCTGGCGGGCGACTTTGGAAACTTCCTGGCAAGGATAGCCATGTCTTCGTTCAAAGACAACAGCACGCAAGCGAACACCACTGCAGAGGACCGTCAGAACATGGAGCTGACTTGGGCAAACAATTTGAAGACGTGGCTCCCGCTGGAGTTTCCAGAGCTTGCATCGGCCAGCAGCGTGCAAGTGGAGACCAGTGTCTCCCCTCACCAGGTGGGGTACAGTTACTGGATGTACGGGGCCCCAGTGGCACATGAGACCTGGTGCCCCACACGCCAAGTGGAGAAGCCCGACCAGGGCTGTGAAGAGAACAGCGCCCAACTGGCAAGATTCAATGGCTTGATGGGCATGTGTTTGGACCACGCTTCTAACATGTACCTCGTGGATACAGAGGACAGTCAGGTCATGTTGATGGAAACTCGGCCATGAGGCTATCATGATGTAGACTACGGAAATTCTTCAATGATCGGCCATAGCAATCATGCCAAGAAGTCCTGCAAAGCTCGCAACTTGTGACTCGCGACCCCAATGCATGCCCATAAAGCATCACTAAGGACACGGACGAGTTCAAGGATTCGATCAACACCGCAGATGCATCCACGGCGAGCGGATGTTTCTGCGAGCAGTATTGGGTTGGCCTTGAGGAGTCCAGCAGTGGCGAGTTCTTTCTGCCAGGTGGATGGATCAGCACCGACTACCAGCTCGACATTTTGAGGTGCAGAGAAAACCCGCTCCTACAAAGCATCCTTGAAGCGAGCCCTACTCCTGTTCACAACATTACAGAGGCATTGGAGAGGCAGCAACACTGCTCTACAACAGACTACTGCGGAAGGGTGTTTTCTGACACCTATCCCAAGTGGTGCTATGCAAACACTAGATCCATGCCCGACGGAAGTCAAAGAGACATGTGTGAAGAGAATCGCTGGCTTTGGTGCGATGCTGACGTTCAAGGTCACACTGAAACCTCATGGAAATTTGTCCCTGAAGCAACCATCATCGGCACCTCGATGCTTAAGCACATGTCTGCTGCGTTTCATGTCCCTGACGTCTTATCTCGCGCGAGCCATGTGACCACAAGTGCTTGTTTGCGAGATCCCAGCATGAACCACGTACTTTCCCGGCTGGTGCTCTCGGCAGTTGCACAGTACCTGCACAGCTCTGCTGTATATGAATGTGTGTTTTGTTTTCGCACGCTAGGGTGTGGCAGGTGAACATCCGCATGTTTTTGCACGAACAGAAAATTCACAGCTGTAGTATGCCATGGTCTTAAGAGCTTAATGTTCACCATTTTCATAGTCGTCGTCATCGTGATGACGCGTGACACCGACGTGGGAAATGGACATAGGCGTTTGAAACAGGGACAGGTTTGAAGCACTGGCGAAGAGCAAGTCGATGCAGAAGCCCTGACATCCGTTAGGCTCCAGCACTTGTTTTTTTTGACTGATTGACCTGTCCGCTGCATCTTGTACATTTCTCCCGTCAAAACCGCGTGGTGCTTTCGGTTCGGTGGCTCATGCAAGATGACCACATCCTGGAGGGGTAGGAGCTCCCTCCGAAACTTCACAGATTTGCAGGTGCACGTTCTTGTCCCGGCCTCGTTTGAAAGACCAGACAGGCACTCAAATTGACGGAGGGTGTACTTGATGTGGGCTGCCAAGTCTTCGCTTAAACCAGAACCCTCATTGAGCGGGGGCATTGGGAAGCCGGATCCATAGAATCACAGCGATACCGTGAGGAGAGCCGTGTCCTGGTGAGAGTCGTTTCTGCCAGAGGGTTCTCAAGGGTTGTACAGCATCACAGCACCCGAAGACAGAAACTGAAAGAGCAAAAACGGAAATGAATGGTGACAGCCACAAGACTCGTAGATGTTGCGCTATCGCATGCCCATGCGCTCTCGGACACCTCAGAAAGAAGGGACTTGCGAGGTTGCACACATGCAAGCCGAGGTAATGAGAAGCGGTTCGAGACAAGATATTGGTTGGACGCGCCGGGGGTACAAAGCATGATGTCATACTTGACCTCAGATCTATGGCTGACTTCTGGCAGTCCCTACGAGTATGTGCCAAATCTGCTCTCCCGGCGGCCTGCCAACTTCTTCCTCAGAGGGACGGCTATCCTCAAGGGTTTCGTCGATTTTGGGAACGGCCCCTGCAATGAAACCTGCTGTGGCCTTCCAATGCTTTCCACTGTGCAAAACGGCGACACAACTGGCCATGTTTGTGCTTTCACAAGTTTGGACAACGTCAGCATTCTCGAGTCCTACTACCCGGCACCTACAAACCAGACCGGTCCTGGGCCCCCTGGTCCAGGACCCATCGTCACCATGCTGACAGTTTGGGAGGAGCTGGAGAGTTTGGTGTTCAACTCTCGAGAGTCTGCAGGCTTGACTTCGACCGCCACAGCGAGGTCCACCCTCGAATTCTGCAAGTCGCGCTGCCAGTATGATTCCACTTGCAGTGGCTTCATGGTCAAAGGAGTGGACGAGGAGGCACCAGAATTGTTGAGCCAGGGCCAGCCGTGCATCTTCTTCACCCAAAACTATCCTTTCTATGTTTACACCATCGATCGCACTGTTGCACCGTTCGACACAAATGGAGATGCAAACTTGTCGAATCCAACGGACCGGGCAGCAGCGTTGAATGCTTTCGTTGGGCCAGGCGTTCCCGCCTCTCGGATGACGGGGGATCAAAACGGCATCTATGTCGCATCAGAGGGCAGCCTCCTGTATTCCCAGGACACCATCCAGGGGGGCAACATGAACAAGGCTCTGCTCCTCATGGACTGTCAGGAACTGTGTTTGCAGGAGCCGGACTGCACTGGCATAGCCTTCCCCGGCTGCTACCTTCTGAGGAAGGCGGGCATACAACTATTGTCCGACAGCGAAATGACCAGTGTCTACATCAAGGAGGCGATGCGGCCAGGGCTTCAGCCTGTGGCTGGCTACAGCGAGGCCGATGCTTACGCAGAGGAGGCGGACAGAGCATTGGAGTCGTATTTGAACAAGCCCTACAGTTGCGCGGTGGATTCCAAGGGCGACCTATTAATCTCAGACGGATTAAACCAGAGGCTGCGCAAAGTTCAGGGATACAATACCCAGTGCAGCACGAATGAGCAGTTCACACCCCAGCAAGTCCAGGACTGAAGCAGTGTCTCTTAAATAATCAATCTTGTTGATTGTGTTTTCGCTTCGCCACGGGATGGGGAGGAGGGTCTGCAAGTGAAAGGCCAAAGAAAAGCGAACTTGAGGCCATTTCG